AAAAAAAAAAAAACCTTGGGGCCTGGCTGCAGTGCTCTCCACATGTGCAAAAGACAAGAAAATGCCAATAGTGAGAGGATGAGATAGATGCCTAAAGAAAAACTGAGATAGATGAGAGAAGAATATAGCTTACCTTTAAAAAAAAAATAAAAAAAAATGCCAATGTATCTTTCCATGTTCTGGCGATGGATTCAGTCTAATTTTGCACATTTCGAGAGTATTGCAGCTAGGCCATGAGACTTACCATGGTATTTGTCCTTTGTGCACGTCCACAGAACAGCGGAGTGAGGAGGCAAAAAAGGAACAGTATTCTACGCCAAAAAGAAGAGGTTAGTATACTACACCGTATTGCCTCTCCCTCCATTCCACACGGGACCCCTACAGCAACTAAAAACCAATGACAAAACTGAGCCTTAGGGCTCCCTGCCCTAAATGGCGGGATGCATAATCCCACCGTCCGTTGAAAATACAATAGACAGTTCCTAACAGTCCCACACCGTCACACTACTAGTAAACTATACTATTCGCTGGCATGCGGGCCGAGGCCCCGGTAACAGCCTCTGTGACGGTGTAAAAATGGCGGGAAAGTGTTTTGCAGGGTGCAAAAATGACAGTGAAACTGATTTTGAGGGCTGCGGCACCTTTTTCCGCGTTGGGGAGCAAATGGATACAAAGGGTTCCTCGCCGGGAGGTTTTATGACTTTTCCCAAATTTATTTCGAAATACCGGAAACAGGTGTGCCAAGCCCTAGAGTCAGAAGAGAAGCGTCAACCCTATGCTCCGTCAAAAGAGAAATGTCGATCCTGAGTCCCTCGGGAGGTCCCTAAACTTAAGAACTATATACAGGGAAAGGGCACCCCGCATAAATCAAATCGAGGTCCTGGAATAAAAAATAACAGTCAATGAAAGAAATGTCAATGCCCTTACAACCTAAGCTCGTATATTAAATAATAAAAAAAAAAAAAGAAGAAAAAAAAAAAAACCTAAGCTCGTAACCTGGTCCTCCTTTGGTGGGAACTTGCACTAGCAGCACAACCGGCCAGCTTCTCCAGCTCCTCTAGCCTTTTGTCGTATTCAAGCTTTGGCTGGAGGCTAGACTGCCAGCGCAGCCAGTTGGACACGTCCACCGCTTTCTTCGTCGCTTCGTCGTCGTTTCCCCTCATCAGAGCAGATCTACCTCGGATTGACCACGCCAGAGTCTGCAGCTTTACTCGAGATTCGTAAGCGGCTGTGAGCGCGGCGTCCTCTGCTTCCGCTTCCGGCGTGTTGCAGTCGGCAGCGCCTGCGAGGGCGGGAGCAACATGGGGGTCGTCCGTCCCCACCCTGCGCAGTACGGTCTCCACTTTGACTCCCGCCTTTTTCCCGAGCTCGGCGTTGTTCGCAGTCGCCTCCGCCGTTACCTCTAGAATTCCATCTCTGTCCATTTTCACAATTATTCGCGCCACTGGCTCGCCGCTCGCTGGCGCAGGTACGAAACCTGTGAGTAAGAACCCGCCAAGCGACCGATTACCACTGCACGCCGCCCGCTCACCTTCATACAGCTTGAAATTGAACTCCCTCTGGTCATCGCTGTCGCAACAACATAGGTGCTCAGCTTCGTGAGGGATGAGAGTGAACCTAGGGATGAGAGAGATCATGAAATCCAGACCCGAGTCAAGTCCGATGGTGAGTGGCGCCACGTCACGCACCAATATGCCTCGTAGGCGGAGTGGCGGTCTACCGGCGGTCGCTGGAGTCCCGAGCGCTGGTCGCCGCACGTTCGACTGGCAGTCGTCCGCCGCTTCCTGGCACCTGCTGTCAACTATCAGCCTTGCCTGCACCGCCGCTCCGTAAGCTACCGCCTCGTCGGGATGAAGACACGCCAGTGGCGGGGTCCCGAAAAACGCACTCAGTTTCTCTCTCACTATGGGAATCCACGTGGACCCGCCAACCAGCAGCACGTCGGTGATCTCTCTCTTCTTCATGTTCGCGCTGTGAAGAGCTTTCTCGACGATCGTGATGCACTTGTCGAAGTAGTCCCCGTTCAGAGACTCGAACGCTGCGCGGGTTATCTCCGTGGAGATGGGTTTCCCGCCAATTTCCATGCACACCACTGTCTCCCACAGATTTGACAGCCTCTCCTTTGCCCTCATAGCTGCCTGTTTTGCCTGGGCGAGCAGTCTCCTGTCGGTTAAAATGTCGACACCGCTGTCGCGCGTGAACTTTCCCGCCACAAATTTCAGCAGTCGGTTGTCCAAATCCGCTCCTCCCAAGTGCGTATCTCCCGCCACGGCGTTGACAGTGAACTTGGACTCGTCCTCTGCGCTCGCTTCCGCGGTAATGATTGACACGTCGAACGTGCCCCCTCCTAGATCGAACACTAGAATCTTCTTTCCGTACGATTTGGATCCTAGAAGATTCTGATGACCGTACGCCAACGCCGCCGCCGTTGGCTCGTTCAGCAGCCGCAGGACATTCAGTCCCGCGCGCTTCCCCGCCTCCCTGGTCGCTCGCCGTTGGCTGTCGTTAAAATAGGCGGGAACAGTGATCACCGCATCGGTTATCGTTCTCCCTCCAATGAAGTTTTCCGCCATTTCTTTCATCTTCCGCAGCAGGATTGCAGAGATCTCTTCCGGCTCGAACGTTGTTACCTCGCCCGCCGCAGGACCCTTGAAAAAGCCGACAAGCGCTTCCCCGTGCGGGCCCTTTCGCACATGGAAAGGCCACATCTTTGCGTCTTCCTGCACACAACCTTCGTCATACAACCTGCCCATTAGGCGCTTCACCTCAAAGATGGCCTGCTCCGGATGGCTCGTGCCGTATGTCCGAGCAGCACTACCTACAAGATGCTCATTTCCTGCGATTGCAACGAAGGACGGGGTGATACGCTCACCAAGGTCGTTGGGAATGATATCTACCGTGCCCTTGTCGCCGGAGACGGCCACGCAGGTGAATGAGGTGCCGAGATCGATCCCCACAACCCAACTCTGAGGAGCCGTAGAAGAAGACGGTGGAGAAGGATCGGGACCGGGAGTTGGAGGTGGGACGAACTCCCGTCGTGGTGTTTCTGGTCCTGGAGGCTCGCCAGCACGCGACTTCTTCCGTTTGAACCACTGCCAACGTGAAGAACCAGACGTCGCAGACGAGCTCTTGCTTGCAGTGGGAAAACAACGTACCTTC